TGAGAACTGATCGTGGAGGTGAGTTTGTCTCTACCAACTTTGAACAACTTTGCAATGAAGAAGGTATAAATAGGTATTTAACCGCACCATATACGCCACAACAGAATGGTGTGGTTGAACGCCGAAACCAAACTGTTCTTGGAACCACAAGATCTATGTTGAAGGCCATGAATTTACCCCAATGGTTGTGGGGAGAAGGTGTTCGACATGCTGTCTACATCTTGAACAGAACTCCGACAAAAGCTTTAGAAAAGAAGACCCCATATGAAGCCCTAAAAGGACGGAAGCCCAATTTGGAACACCTAAAGGTGTTTGGATGTATGGCGCATGTCAAAGTACCAACACCCAAATTAACAAAGCTTCAGACAGGAGCGAGGCAATGGTACATCTCGGGAGTGAACCAGGAAGCAAAGCATATCGACTTTACAACCCAAAGACAAAAAGGTTATGTGTTAGCAGGGATGTCCAATTTGAAGAAAACAGAGCGTGGGACTGGGCTAAAGATTTGGAGACAGAGGGAAATGAAAGTCAGGTTGAATTTGTTGTTGAAAATGAAGCTTGTGTGACTGGTCAAGGATTGACTCAAAATGGTGGCAGCGCACTCAATACCTCACCCAATCACACCGAAGGCCAGGCTGCTCTAATCATACAGAATGGGTGTGAATCTGTTAGCACACCGGAGAATTGTTCGTTGTCTAGCCCAAAGTCGCGTGTCTCGGTTCCAAGCACTCTTATCAGCCCACTAAATGTTCCAAACAGTCCGCATGAGTTTGAAAATTTCAGTACATCAGTTGTGAGTCCGATTTCAAGTTCACATTATGATGATACACCCCCTCGAGGATTTCGCCACCTAAATGATGTGTATTCAAGAACTCAATCGATACAAGAGAAGGCTTTCAATCCCCCTCACTTTGATGACGCAGAACTATTATTATCCAATGAAGAACCAAGTACTTTTAATGAAGCCAAAGATAGCAAAGAATGGAGTACTGCAATGCAAGACGAATTGGATTCTATTGAACGAAATGGAACCTGGAAATTGGTTGAACTCCCGAAAGGAGTTAAACCGATTGGTCTGAAGTGGGTTTATAAAGCCAAAAAGGATGCCAAAGATAATATAATTCGCTACAAAGCGAGACTCGTTGCGAAGGGGTATGTCCAAAAACATGGTATTGACTACGATGAGGTGTTTGCTCCAGTTGCTCGAATGGAAACAGTTCGTTTGCTTCTATCCCTAGCTGCACGAGATGGTTGGGAAGTTCACCATCTTGATGTGAAGACGGCTTTCCTTCATGGAGACTTAAAGGAGGATGTATATGTATCACAACCCGAGGGGTTCGAGAAGCCAGGAAAGGAACATCTCGTGTACAAACTGGTAAAAGCTTTATATGGCCTGAAGCAAGCCCCAAGAGCCTGGAATTCAAAGCTAAATGCAACTCTACAACAACTTGGTTTCGAGCGTTGTCCACGTGAACATGCAGTATACAAGCGAACCACAAAGAATGGACCATTAATAGTTGGTGTATACGTTGATGATCTNGAGGTGTTTGCTCCAGTTGCTCGAATGGAAACAGTTCGTTTGCTTCTATCCCTAGCTGCACGAGATGGTTGGGAAGTTCACCATCTTGATGTGAAGACGGCTTTCCTTCATGGAGACTTAAAGGAGGATGTATATGTATCACAACCCGAGGGGTTCGAGAAGCCAGGAAAGGAACATCTCGTGTACAAACTGGTAAAAGCTTTATATGGCCTGAAGCAACCCAAGAGCCTGGAATTCAAAGCTAAATTCAACTCTACAACAACTTGGTTTCGAGCGTTGTCCACGTGAACATGCAGTATACAAGCGAACCACAAAGAATGGACCATTAATAGTTGGTGTATACGTTGATGATCTAATCATCACAGGTCCATGCAAGGATGAGATCGTTGGGTTCAAAAGACAGATGAAAAACTGTTTTGAAATGAGTGATTTGGGGCTTCTAACATACTATTTGGGAATAGAGGTGAATCAAGACAAAACTGGCATTACTAGCTCTTAATGGTTGAGACCCTTTACTGGTTCAGCACTTAATGGTTCAGTTCAACACTTACCTATTCAGAAGTTGCCAAACAGCCCCTTAGTTATTTTAGTTGTAAGTTTAGGTATTGCCTTTGTCCCAACATAACAAAATCATCTTGCTCCCCTCCATTCCTTGGGCATTTAAACCATTTTGAAAATGATATAGAACAATTTTGTTAATCACACCATCCCTACTTTACTTTCATTTTTCCAAAACACCATTGGGATCTTGTCTGGTTTGGCTGCTCTCACCCTCATCTTCATGTTATTTGCTTATTTCAGCTCTAAAAGCTAAAGAAATCTACACATTAACTAATGACTAATGATAAACCTTGTCATTAGCCATTTTGTGTTAATATTTCAAGGTAATTCATATTTTATACAAGTGGTTATTCTTCATTTCCCAGGCCATACCTTGTCTCTACAATACTCATATTTATTATTCCCTCCATTTAGTATATTTCCTCGCATTTTGTTTTTTCTCAATTTTAGTAACATGACGAAAAAGAGTTTGACTTTCCATATGTGCCCTTTGTACTTGGTAAAAATGAGGCAAGGGTTTGCCAATATAGTCCTCTATTTCAAATAATTCTTTTTGTGGTCTATATTTGAGAATTTTTCAATAATAAGTCCTTTGTTCACTACATGTCAATAAAATATTCTCTTTCTCCTCTATATTTGTGAACTTTTTCTTCATAGGACTTATTATAGAACAGTTTGCACATATAGAGGACCACGAAGAGAATAATTTGAAATAGAGGTCCATACTAGAAAACCCATGTGACCGTTTGGATCGGGTTTCCAAAACTAGTTTTTTAAATCTTATTTAGTTATCATATCTAATAGGATTCGGAACAAGGTTATCCGAGGACCGGTGGGCGTGACACATGTGGAAGATAAGTCGCGGGAAGCTAGGTTGAGGTTGTTTGGACATGTGAGACGGAGGAGTGTTGATGCCCACCCAGTGCGGAGATGCGAGAGGCTTACGTCGGTCGGTGGGAGTAGGGAAAGGGGTAGACCTAGGAAGACTTGGAAGGGGCTTATTAGATATGACCTAGGATTTGTTGTCCTTATTGCTGATATGTCCTTAGATAGGAATATTTGGAAACCTAGGATTAAGGTAGTTGGGTAGGTGTTTTGGGCTAGGTGGTAGGTTATGTATTCTTTGTTGTGTGCTTTGTATGCTTGGTGTTCTCTGCTTGTAGTGCTTTCCTTTGTTAACTTTAGTTTACTCCTTGTCTCTTTGTGCTTTGTGCTATTTCTGCTCAATGTGTCTTATGTGATCTTTTATTATTTGTGCTATGTGAGCCGAGGGTCTCTTGGAAACAGCCTCTCTACTTTCAAGTAGGGGCAAGGTCTGCATACGCACACCCTTAACAAAAATATACCATATACATAGTAGTACATTATTAGACAACTTTTAAAAAAATAACTCAGGGTGTATTTTAAAATTTAAATATAATTCTATAAGAATACTTAAACATTTTAAACTATCTATGAGCCCGTGTGAAGCTCATGGTAAAAACTACTTGCAGTGTTCTAATGCTTGATCTAATGCCCAAATTAATCTCTATTTTCTATGGCTACAGAAGTGGTTTCTGATTGTTTGAGGTGTTGCAGTGAAGACTCTGATGATGCCACAAGCAAGGTATGAGTGTTACTCTCAATTACCAAAACACGCACAATTGTGTGCATGTATTCGTGCACTTCTATGTATGTATGTATGTATGTATGTATGTGTAGCTGTATACATATAAGGATAAAGTCCCCTTGTTCTTGAGACCTTGTCATCATGCACTTTCATTTTTTTATGCTAAGCAAATGCGTTTTCATTTCATGACAATCAAGATGAAAAGTCTATCGCCTTCCAAATATTCCAGACTTCAGTATCCTTTCATGACCGTTGATTTAGAACAAGTTAAAATGAATAGAAGTTGAATAACAGCTGGCTGGACTTTGAAAGTGGGTAAGATGTCTAAAAAGTAGACAGTAGACAAGGATACTTCAGTATCAGGATGGGTAACCCCTACAGGATTGTACACAATCAGGACTTCTTGTTTGACTACGAATGAGTCAATGCTAAATATGTTTGGACTTTGTAGACTGGCAATTAAGCTGCCATGAAAAGGTGAATCTATAAGTTAGCATGTATATATGCTACCTCAAGCCATTTCCATTCCATTTAAGAACATGAAACTCTATTCCCTCCGTCCTATATCGTTCTTTCTATTTTCCTTTTCATGCCATATATATATTTTTCTTCCCGATTCCATCAATGGCTAATGAATGACATTGTCATCAGATTAGTCATCTTCAGTGCAATTCTGCATAACCCAAATAAATCAAGATTTTTCGATTTCAATTTCCTGGGACAAAGTGTAAAGATGAATTGTGGGTGATTTGATAAAGGAACTGGAAAGGAGAGAAAGAAAACCTGGTAGAATATGAAGTTTGTTTGAAGGTCTGGTGATGCTTGGTCGGATATGATTTTTGGACAGAAGAGAGCGAAAGATGGAGGACAGTGAAGGATGTGTTTAGAGGGAAAATATGGAAAGTTAGCTTTTTTTTCATCTTGCATTAAAAAGCATGCCAAGTCAAAACACGAAGAAACATAGTGGACGGAGGGAGTATTTTGTAACTCTAATGACTAATCACATCAGAATATCAATAGAAGCTGTTCCTTTTACAAGCCCTTGCTATTGTGTAATTTTATTATAAAACCGGATTTAATTTAATTCAACACAATTACTTATGGTATTTTAACATGGTCTTTGTCCTCTTCTCTATAAATGCTCATATTTTCCCCTTGCATCGGAATCAAACAGTTGCAGCTATTGTATAAGTGGAGCTCCTTTTGTAGGTTGTATATGCGGGAGCAATATTAGAAGTGTGCATGAGGAAATTGGTATTCTACCCTGAGATTGTTGGCTTCATTGAAGAAGAGAAGGATAAGTTTCCTTCTGTAAAAGTTCAATATGCATATAATTCTCCACCAAAGTTGATTATGCTGGATGATGATGGAGCACATAAGGAAACCATAAGGTTAGTTACTTCCATTAATCTTAGTTTTTGACAGATCTAATGCATGCGAAACCGTTCTTGTTCTTGTACTTATCGTTCACTGCCATTTTTTGCAACTTGCATTGCAGAATCGACAACTGGAAACGTGAGCACATACTCCAGTTTATAGCAGAAAAGGTGAAGCCATCTTCAGATATTTAGTGCAGCTATGGAGGAAATCTTCTCTTAACCTACCACCCTCCATATCTAATATTTAATATTCTGTATCAGTTAACACTCCAAGGATAATCAATCTGCTAACACTTGCATTGTTGCATTCACTTTATGGATTTGCTATTGCAGCATAAAAAGCTTGTCAGACATTCCTTTGGAATGTTCGGAACTAGGTGTAGAGTTGCTATAGTTGAAGAATTGTTTTTGTACCAATTGCCCATTTGCCCAATATAACCTTAAGGTATAAGCAAACAGACATAAAATGTGAAACAATGCGGTTATAACCAAATAATTTCAATAGATATGTCTTACTAAAAGTTAAAAATTTGTGTAGATGTGAAAAGGCTTTTTATAGTTGTAGTACTAATAATAATAATAATAATAATAATAATAATAATAATAATAATAATAATAATAATAATAAGTACAACAACAACAATTCTTTTTTTTAGAAGACAACAACAATTTTGATTGAATTTGATCTGATTAGATTTGATTTGATTATAATAAAAATAAGTACTCTTTCTGTCTTAAAACTATTTTCTCACTTACTATTCACATGGTCAAACTTAAATCACTTTCTCTATCTTTTTTCTTTAGTTATTTGATAAAATAATATAGTTTTGCCACATCTTATTTTGTAAAACTTTTGATATAGTTTTTAAATATATAAATTTTGTTTTATAATTTTATACCTACAATAAAATAAATTAAATTGAAAATAAAATTGGTCAAACCTCATAAACACAAACGGAAAGATAGTTTTAGGACGGAGGGAATAATAAATTGAAAAATTAGGGGAGAATGACCAAAGTAGAACTAAAATATTAAAAATATACCAAAATAGGACTTCCATGTTTTTATTCCTGAAATAGGGCTAAAAATACATTTACATTTGGTCTCGCCGGAACCTGACTAGGTTGATTTTCCATCGACTTTGACATGGTGTGACGGCGGCAGGGAGCGGAAGAAAAGAAAAAAAGAAATGGTGTCAAATTGAAAATTTTAAAATATATAAAATTCTAATTTGGCCCAAATGACTGGAAGTTAACCTAAAAACGGGCAAATGGACTTTTAGTGAAAGGATTGTGTAAGTTTAGGGATTTTTTTTAAAGGATTTGAAGTTTAGGTACCACTTCGAAATTCCAGCTAAAGTTCAGGTACCATTAGTGAAATTTACCCGGCAGAATGCATGCTAACATATACCTATGGGGGATGTGTTGTGGTGGTGGGGTTTCGGAAGAAAAGAAGAAAAAGAAGAAGAAATGAAGAAAAAGAAAGATGTGGCAACAGACAGTACTATAGAAATTACTTTTTAAATCGGTTTTTTTACCTTTTAAATCGGTTGTCAACCGATGAAAAAGGTAGCGATGTAATTAGTGCAAATATTTTTTTCATCGATTGTCCAACATTCTGTAAAAACACCATTTTATTACTTTTTATAAAAGAACCATTTTTTCATCGGTTGTCCCTACTTTTGTTACTCTAGATGTTCTTGATATGGTGTGCGGCGGTTGGAGAAGAGAGGAGGAGGTGTTTGATTAGGTTTACATTTAACATTATTAATTATGTATAGAGGTATTTTGTAAAAGATTATTATTTAAGAATTAATTATTTAACTCCTATATAGTATGTAATTAAAACTAAGAAATCCTATTTAGAAAAACGAGTTAGATTTTGATCTTATTTAGAACAAATTTTAATAATAATTAATAAGCAAAAACTAGATCGTACTTTATACAATGCAGCCATCATTTTTACTCATAATAATGTGAAAAGGCTACTAGAACAAGCATTGGAATGATGCAATGGGGTATTATACCAAATTTTAGGTTTTGTGATATATATAGTGAAGAATAAAAGGAATAAAAAAAGAAAGCAGCAGCTAGCTTGAACCATATACAAAGGCTCTTGCATCGCAGCATAGACAAAAAAAGAAAAGCAAACAAACAAAAATTACTATAAAAAATGTACGTATGTATTTATATACTCCGTATATATATTTCTTATGAAAGAGGGACGATAGTACAAATCATCATAGCGCGCGTATGAGTAATTGTATGTGAGAAAAGGTATGTAGCTTAATTAGCAGGCAGGTGGGTTTTGTTTCCCTTTCAAAACTGTTTTGGCGTTGAGGCATGAGCTTGGCTTGAGATCGCCTTCAGCGCCTTCCACCGGGGCAATGTCAATGTCGCTCAATTCCACCCCATCACAAGGATATGCTTGGCTGCATGTCAACGTGATTGCCGGGTTCTTTATAGCCGCTGTTCCTCTTATGTTGCGGAAGTGAACGTCACTCAGCTTCACATTCGATGGCTGCATATATATACGCATGCATGCACATAATGTATGTTAAATCCGGACGGAGGTGGTAATTAACTCTTATCAATATAGTATATAATATGCAAATTGATTATATTGAAAACTCACTAATAACTCAGTAATTAACTAACCTCTATTTTGTCCTTGGAGCTGTAGTCTTGGTCAATGATGATGGGATTAGTGACATTTTGCATTATGAGATCCTCGAATGTGATGCTAGCAGCTTCAAGCTTTGGTGAGGCACGAAATGTCTTGATTCTTGCACCATTCGTAGTGCCTCTCAGTGTGCAGTTCTTCACCACCACACCTTTCACACTATCCTCGTTCTCGCGCTTCCCAAGGCTTCCAACACTACATGCATGCCACATAATAATTTATCTAAAATTTTGAACTTTTGCAATCAAATAGTCTAGGAGATGAGATTCGGACAAATCGGAGCTAGGGAGTACTGAACTGACCTCAAGCCGTGTCCCGGGCCACAAGTGACCTTGGTCACCAGAAGGTTGTTGACGCCATCACCTATGGACACACAATCATCACCAGTTCCGATGTCAAGCTCGGTGACGTTCACATTGGTGGAACCACTAATATGGATGCCATCAGTGTTGGGGCTGTATCCGGGGGCGGTTATTTTTAAATTGGACACATTAATTTCAGAGCAGTCTGATACTTTTATATGGAACCCTTTGCTATTCACAAAGTTGAGGTCATGAAGAGATGAATCATTCACTGCTTGGAAGATGAGGGACTGCATGCATGCATGCACCAAGTAAGTAAACATAAAAAATAATATTTTAAGTTGTAATTAAGAAAGAGAAAATTATTTATAAATACTTCTTCCTCCATCTCCCAAATTAATGTTTTTGATTGGAAATGGCACAAAAAGTTAGGTTTTCCAAACAAAGAAACATGAATCCATTTTGGGAGGTAGGTATATACGTATCAAAAGATGATTAATTTTGGGACGGCAAAGCTAAGAAGCTCATATCTTTTGTTTGTTTGTTTGCTTGTTGTAGTATATTTTATACTCACAACGGGGAGAAGTGGGCCACCCTTGATTTTTTCACCGGATTCGGCGAATTTCCAGACTTGCTCTCCGAGGCCGTTGAGGGTTCCTCCACCGGTGACTTCGACTCCATCAACGTGTTCGAATTCGATCCAATAGTTGGAAGAGAAGTCACTCAAATCGGTACTGGCCTCTAGCGTCCCCTGAATTTCGACCACTATGGGCTTTGGTGCGGTGCAAGGTCCCTGGAACACAACCTCCCCCGCTTTAAATGTCCCCTTGGGAATCACCACCTTTGCCGCCTCCGTCGATTTGCATGCTTCGTTCCATGCTCGGATCATTGCCTGCCATGCATGCATGCAAATTATATATATATATATATATATATATATATATATATATATATATATATATATATATCACAATCTCATTTCTATTGAGTTAGTTCTAAAGAAAAAATTTTCATATATTTATTTATTTATATTTATATATAATACGTATTAATGCAGGTACGTACCATTGCGCTATCTCCTTCGCCACTAGGTTTAGCCCCAAACTTAGTAATATCAAAAACCGTCTCTGTAAGGCCACGTCGAGGGATACATTCCACTCTGGTGGTGGTGGAGAACAAGGCAATGCCTATTATTACTAAAATACCAGCAGCCTTGATCTCCATTATTATTATTTTTTGTTTTTTTATGACCTAATCAAATATAGCTTTATTCAAAGCCTATCGAGACGGTTTTTTTATACTTTATTTATTGGGGCAAATAAATTTTTTATTAAAACCTGATGGCTTATGAAAATAGATATGACTCCCTATGGCTTTTATACTAACTATTCTCTCATACAGTTCTATTAACCTTGCATTCAATGTGAGATTCTTAGTGTTTTGAGGATACTACTTTTAAGGAGAACACACAATTCATTGCTGGTGAAAAACACATTACTATACACCACAAGAATAAACCCCATTATATTCTTCCTAAAATAATTTGTTTTAAGTACTCTCCTATGGAATCGTTTGAAAAAAAATACTCGAGTATGTTATTTATGGAGTATAATTCTCCTCATTTCATTGAATTTTAAGAAATCACCTCGAATAGAAGTAAAATGTAGCTCTTATCTTCAAAATAGGAGTTCCATATTTTTAGTTTCGAAATAGAAAGAGTTGTAGGAAACCACTAGGAGTTAGATACTTTTAATACCGAAAATTGTGACATTGTCTATTGTCATTTCACTATGTTTTTTTGTACTATATATTGACATTATTGGAATTATAACTTTTATTTTGAGATAAAAAATATGAAACTTCTATTTTGGTATTTCTTTCCATGCTTTAATTCTATTTTGATATTTTTCCTTGAATTTTAATAAGCCTCAACCAGTTTCAGTTGTAAAAACAGAGTTAGATGTTGGAAAAAACTTTAAAGCTAGAGTTGGAAGAAAGTAGAAGGAGTTGGACAATTAAACTAGAAGAAGTTGGAATAATATGAAAAGAGTTGGAAAAAACTAGAAAGAGTTGGAAGAATATTGAAAGAGTTGAAAAAAAGTGCTGAAATATTAATTTTACTCTATACATTTCATATTTTATTTAAAAAACTTATACACTACATTTTCAGATTTTTATTTTCTTCTATGTCATTATATTTTATCTCAAATCATATTCATAATTTTTTTGTGAATCGATAACACTCTTTCTTTATATGTTAAAATCAATATTAATCATATAATTTTTCATTGTTCAATTATATGTCACTAATTCATGCAATGTAACAAAAATAAGAAGACAAATGAAGCCATACTTTTTATTAATCTCAGTTGAAAGACAAACGAACCAATTCATTCTCGCAAAAACTTTTAATATTTCATTTTTTGTATGCCTAAAAAATATTTAGTTTTTTACTTGTTCAATCTTTTTTATCTTATAATAGTCAAATGAAGAATATTTATGCAACGGAGATACTATTTAATATACATGTGACATATGCACATTTAAAAACTAAACAATATTAATTTCACAGAATTATTTCTTTGCATATTATATTGATGTATATGAAATTTCTTTTTGCATATTTTTAGTACGTGCACATTATATAAAAAAGTATATCCAATTTTAAAAGTTATATAATGCTTAATGAAAGAAAATAGAGTGCACAATTATTACTTAATAATAGATTCAAAAAGGTGTCTTCTAGAATTGGCGCCACTTCTAGAACGCACTTTTTGAATCTGTTAAACAACCGATGCAAAAAGTATTTTCACGAATTGTATGGCTACCTTTTGCATTGGTTAACAACCGATTTAAAAGGTAAAAAACAACCTGTTCAAAAAGTAATTTTTGTAGCACTGTTAAAAAAATGAAAAGAGTTGGATGAAACTGGTGGGAATTGAAAAAAAATAAAAGAAGTTTTTTAAAAAATAGAAGGCGTTGAAAAAAATAGCAAGAGTTTGAAAATGTTGGAATTTAAGAGTTAACACTGAAATATATTATGGTAAGGATGTACTATATATCTAGAGAGAGAGAAGGATCTGGCAGCCACAGCTGTTCAATTATATATGACCAAATTATGGTCATTACCAAGTGGACTCCTGACCATTAAGAGGGGCAAGACTGCCCAATTGTTCCAGTTTGGGTGTCTTGTCCAAAATTACCCGTCTACCTTCTTGATCAATGTGCTCTAGCCTTTATTGCTTCTTCTTTAGGAAGAACTCTCAAAGTTGATGAAAATACTCTCAATTTCTCCTGGCCAGATCGGGCTCATTTCTACGTGGAGGTTGATGTCTCCAAACCTCTATCTGCCAAGGCTCATCTCAAATTAGGGGATAAATTAAAGATTCCTTTATCCCATTAATATATGAAAATGTTCCACATTATTGTTCCACATGTATGAAACTTGGGCATATGAAAGGGTACTGCAGAAGCTCTCATCATAGATGAAAGATCAGAGAATGCAAGTAGTTTAGACAGAAGGAGAAGAGGGCTCATTTCTACGTGGAGGTTGATGTCT